AATGCAAACTACAATGTCAAGTATAAGAAAAAAAAGTAACAGTTGGGTATGTTTGCTGAAGCACAAAGTGATTAATAGAGTTTGAAAAATTTTAATTAGTTTAACATAAAATTTTGCTAATTATTTATCAAAATTATGCTTCATTTGTATTCACTTCAAAATTTACATATGCACATTATTACTTTTATGTTTACACATAATTACTCTCATATTTATGCTATTTATTTGTTTATTTAACACTAGAAAGCAAAATAAATTTATCATTGCAATAATATGCAAGTAGTAACGTTGGTGAGACTTTTCTTGATATCTGCCTTTTTTTCTTTAAGATTTATGCAATTATTACTGAATTGTGAGAAAATATATTATTTCACACTTTTATATTTATCATAAATAAAATTAAATTCATTCTGCTTCTATAATCAATTATAAAATATCAATAAAGATGTAATAAAGGATTTTATTTATCAAAAGGAAAACTCAACTCAACTCAGCTGAACTGAACTGAACTGAACTCAAACTCAACTCAACTCAACTCAACCCAATTCAACTCAACTCAATTCAACTCAACTCAATTCAACTCCAATAACCTTGGTAGGTAGTATTTACTTTATCACTTATATACTAGACTGAATAATCTTACCGCATGTATTTATTTATACATTTAGATGAAAAAAAATAAATGCATTCAATTATCTGCACATCTGCTAAAAATGAATAATAACTGTATCAATTAATTTCTCAACATTTATTCCAATTCTTTTTTTGCACCTAACATTTTGTCAAAATAACATCGAAAATAATAAGTAAATATGCGCATTTCCTGGCAAAAAAAAATGAATTTTTTATCCCAAAAACCTGTTTTTTGACCTTAGTCACCAAAATTTAAATTATTTTTGTTAGTCTTTTTTTATAAACAATCTCGTACAATTTTTGTGCATCTTTTGAATCAACGAAATACATAAACAAATTCAAATTCAGATTCAAATTCAAATTCAAATGAAAAGTCTTTGCAATGTAGAAAAGTACTTGAAATGATGTTACTTTACTTTCAAAATTACAGCTTTTAACTCTATTATTACTGGGAAGAAAAGAAGGAAATTTAAGAGCGGCAGTGGCACGATTGGCAAGTTGAAAGTTAAATGCTATTTTCAGACTTGCTTACTACTCGCTTAATTATTTGAATATTAGCAAAAAAACAAAAAATTAGTACCAAATTTACCTTTTCAAAGAAAAGAAGCTTTTTATGCATATATCAGTGCTAGCATATATGCAAGAATTATTACTGAAATAATTCTGCACAAATAAATATAATTGCCATTTTTAGGAAGAAAAAAGTCTTACTTTCATTTGAGACTATTTGCTTGTTGAAAATTGCTATCCTGAGCTATACTGTCATTACTATTTATTATTGCTATTACTATCGTATGTATTTGTTTGATAAGATAACAAATTGACTGCCAAAATTATCAGTGATAAGGCGGAAAAAATGGTAGGATTTTCGCTCACTGTCACTTCATTATTTCTTGAAGCATATCGAAAATTGTTAATCAGAAAAGCATATTTGGAAATGACTTTTTTCTCGTTTTTCATGAAATTATTAATTTTTTGAAATGTTTGTGACAAATTATTGCCAGCTCTTAGCTCTCTGTGTAATTCACTGATGCATTTGTAATATTTTTGGATTAATTTTCAAAATTATTTATACTGAAATGAGTGGTGGCTAAGTATACTTTTGACCTTGATTATTATTTCATGGCCATTATGATAAGTATTCATATTTCTTTAGCGAAAGAAAAGTGCTTGGTGTGTTGATGAGCGAAGGTTAAATTTGCTCTTGATAGTAATCTTGATGGAAATGAAGATTAAGCTTATATTCTTTGAGGAAACAAATGTCAACAAATAATCAATTTATTCCTAAAAAAATTATTCAGTAACATTAAAAATTACGTAAAAAAAGTATTCATTCATAGATGACATCAACAAATTAATAAAACTAAAGAAAAAAATCAAAAAAATCGAACACTGACTTTCAATGAAATATTTCACTGAACATTGTATTGGTAATTGAGATGGTTACTTCTGAGAGTTATACATCAATAATTACACTTAGGGCGAGAAAATAAACTTCAGTATAAAACAAGCTTATATATTTATGATCAAACGAAAACTCACATAAATTCGGTTATTTTAAGGTAAATAATTAAAGTTCAAAGGTTCTGATTTTTCAGGTATTACTGGTATTTGCTTTGCAGGCTAGAAAACTAAGCGCAATACTTGATATCATTTTTTACATTCATAATGAAGGTCAAAGATCACTAGGGTTTATTGCAAGTCTCATTAGGCGCATAAATTAGTAACAATAGGTCAAAAGTCATACTCATTTGCTTCTTTTCTGATCTGTAGGAGATTCATAAAGAGTGCATCAAAAATCGTTCTTACACTGAGGTAAAAATGCTAATAATTATCATTTGAGACAATTTTTTACCGCAATAATATTATAGATTCATTCATTTTCACACAATCAAACGCACTATTACAATGAAACAAAAAAAAATTCTTACATTTCTAATAAATTTTTGGCAATAATTTCTAATCAACTAAATTAATTAATAATCTTGATATTATTATTAATCCTATTTTGCGGAAATCAGCAAACTTATTTAATCATAACTAATTCATTAATTAATAAAAATTTGATTTCAAATATTCAAATGCAAAATAAACGAAAAAAATGAATAATAATTTACAAAAATTATTAATTGATTAACTGAGAACGAATTGTTTGTATTAGAATAAAATGATTAAAATTTAAAAAAATAAAGATTAATTTCAGAAATTGAAAAAAATGAATGCATAGAATTTTTTAATTTTATTACGATGTGACTAATCTCTTACATTCTCACATCCATTCATTCAGTTTGTAAAGTTTGTGTAATAAATAAAAAAAATGGTAACGATTAAATCTAAATGCAAGTCAGCAAAAGAGTCTAATTCATGTGATCTACATACACTGATAACAATGATGATAACAGCAGTGACAATTACAATAAGATTACAAGTTATATTGTTTTGAAAGTTTTATTCTGTAGCGATAAAAGTTACACGACATCACAACAATAAAATTCATTTAATAAAAGAACAATTTATACTTTTACAATATCAATCAAATATGCTTTGAAATCTCTGAACAGATATTATTGTTTTTGGTGTTATGAATGTGATGAACAATTCAAAACTGATTCAGGAGAATAATTTTGCACGACAAAACTTGAGAAACTAACACTGATTAACTGACTGATTGAGAAAAAAAGCTTTGATGTAAGATTATTATAGCAATTAATAAAATAAATTTTAAAACTTAATATTAGCAAAATTGAGTTATATGCTAACTAACTGCAATATAAGCAGACAACTAATACATTTTCGCTATCATCTGCTTAACTTCTTTTCTTCAGGAAGTACAATTTTTGCATGAAAGCATCTAAGTAATCATATTTAATCACTACGGTTTCCAACATTAAACCATTATAGCAGCAGTAGTAAAATTAATTGTAACTTTCACTCGTAAAAAGTAACCAAATCATAAAGACGAGTTACCAGAGTTACCACTATGATAATATAACAATAATAATAATGATAATGATAATAATAATATAACAATAATAATAGTAATAATAATAAATAGTAATGATAAGATTATAGTCTTACCATTAATTTGCTGCTGCTCATAATAATAATTTAGACGGGAAATCGCCTTTAGCGAGAGAGAAAATCGTTGGTTAGGATGAATAAATGTGATCTTGAATGCAAGAAAATACGTGTAGAAACAGAGAGAAGTAATACTACCATATTTCTTCGAGAATACCTTTGTGTACACTCTCATGCATAAGATTTAGTTGCAAAATTTGAGGGACCAATTAGAAATTTGTTTACAAAAATTATTAACATTTTCGATGTTTAGAGAAAAGAAGAATCTAAACAAGCAAGAAATCTAATCATATTTGTTATTCTATAATTAATAAACACTACAAGTAATGTTGCTAATTCGTAAAATATCGAAACTACTACTTTCATTAGAAAAAACTTTGCAAGTCTTACTTTTTTGGAATTGACAATGCAATAAATAAATGCTGACCATGAATTATTACTAAATCCAGACCTCACAAGTGCACAATCAATCACTGACTACCACTTCCACGAATACTTCTAAACCCATCCGTGAAATTTTCTCACCGTAACATCTTTCATCGTTAACCCTCGGAATATGCAAGTAAAACAAGTAATATTACTACTACTCCTTTACAGTTCCCTCAGGAATGGTTGAACCATGATGACTCTCTCTATTGTAAAACCCTTCCTGAGAAACTTATATGTCGCCAAACTCTCCTTTGCCCTCAGTGACTCAGTACCTACTTCCTTTACCGACCAAAAACCATAACTTTGCTCCATTAATTTGTCAAGAAGTACAATAAGGCCAAAAGTATGAAAACAATTTATTTCTGCTTCCTATTTCAAAGCTAATTTTAATATCTACCACACCACACAATCATTCGTACGAACAAATCAGAATTAAAATCTACTAGGCAGCTATTTTATGTAGTAGTAATAAAAAGTTCACCAAAATTTTCTTTCCAAATGAATAAAATGGAGAGTTCATTTTAAAAAACGTCCATTCATTATTCCAACTACCGAAAAGTATCTAATATATGTTAACAAATAAACCAAATATAAGCTATGAAATAAATCACCGAATGTAGAAATAAACTGCAAACAACAAGTGGCTTCTTTTTATAATTTTTTTTTTCATTAGTAAACTTCTATTTTGATGGTAACTGAAATTTTTTATAGTAAATATGAAAATAGGACGGCAATTTTAAAAACTGACATTAATTCCTAAAAGATTTAAAAACCAATTTACAACATCAAGTGTAACTGACAATTAACAAAAAGTTAGAGCACAAAGTAAAGCATACGCACACAACGAAGAACACAAATTATTAAGAAACTGATGGTAAAAATGTTGCCGAGATAATGTAGCCAGTATGAGTTGGCTGTGCTGCTGGGAACGGTAGTAGAGTCGATGTGTAAACTTTACTGCTGTTCTGCTCTTTTACATACTTTGTTACTGATGGCGCAACAGCCACGCTATCGTCTGTTTTACGACATTTTGACGTAATAGAGTCATCTTCTTTACTTTCCAAATGTCTCTTCTTGCCAACCACAACAGGCGGTGCATTAAACGATTCCAACGTACTCATATTCATTTCACAAACCTACAAAATTATATTAATTGCTCTTAAAAACTTCCACAAAAATTGTCTCTTGTAAATAAAAGTAATACTCTGGAAGCGAAATGAAGAGCAATTATAAATAAAAACAGAAAAATAAGTTCTGAGGCAAATCAAAAACCTACTTTCAGCTTTCTTGGTACTAATTCTACAGTACTGATTTGCACAAAACCCTCGCAATGAAGAGCACTGCATGTTCTCTGTACCTTAAATACAATTTTGCAAATCATTTGAACATCGGAATGAAATAGTTTTTTATTTCTTAGCATCTATAAATTTCACCTAAGTTAACGATTTAATCCTAAAAGCACTTTTCAAACCTTTTCTATATTTCAAAAACTAAAAAATAAAAAAGTAACCTGCTCTATGCAAGGTGAAAAGCTGACAATACGCCCACCACGTGATCGACTCAGAGCACGTTTTGCGTGTGCAATTGCAAACCACGGAGCTGGAAGATCTAGAAAAACTGCATCGCAAGCATTTGCTACGAAAAATCCATCCTCAACAACGTTTTGATGCACACATGTCGTAACATCGCCTAACCCATGTTTCTGCACTTTTGAACAAATTAAACGACAAAAATAGATCAATAGCATAGTTTTAAATGTGGATGTAAAACATGGATAATGTGATTTGATTCCAGCAACCTATTTTCGCAAAAAAGATGAAAAAAGAGACTTGAACACGTCAAAATTAACCTTCATTTCAAGTTCTACTTGTTTCACTCTTGACTCCTCAATATCGTGAGTATATAGATGTCCTACAGGTGCAATAGCCATAGCTAATGCATGGGACAGTGAGCCACTTCCAGTACCACATTCGCAAACTACCTGTAACTTTTAACTTTTACAACATACTTCGACAAACAGAAAAACATTTGAATATTTTAAAATTTTACCGATCCTGGTTTCACGTCTAATAACATCAAAATCAAAGCGCAGTCTGGCGTATAAATAATCTGTGTTCGCCGAAGCAAAGCACGAGTCCACATTTCAGCATTAGGACGTAACACATAGACGTAACCCGCAGTCGCACTGATGCGAGATCCATAACTGAAAACTTTTCCCAGAAACTTCCATTTTATCAAAAACCAAATGCTATATTAAATATTCTTTTCTTCTGATTTAAAGTACTAGAACACAGAAAAAACTTAATGTTTGTAAAGCACATGATATTGTAGAGATATTTCTCCACAAGAAATGCAATAATTAACACTGTGCACCAACCACTTTCCTATAAGATAGTCATGCTTTAAAGCACCATATTTCATTGTGAGAATAAGGCCACGCTTCACTTCTATTGCATAACATGTACCATAATTGACATAAATAATGACAATGTCACCTTCTTCAATCACTTTTTTGGAGCTCAAAAAACCTGAACCCGTATGATTTACAGTTGTAACCTGAAAACAGAAATACTTTTCGAAAGCAACTTTTCTTACACAAGGATAATGCAGTTAGTAGTTAATGACAGCTCGTTAAAGCAAAATAACCCTGTAATATAATTTCTCTAACATGACTAAACATAGTCATCACTGATTACACACCAGAAATGGACGAGAAGAGTTATACTTCACTCCTAATGATTCCGTCTCTAGACTTAAAATCAAATTATTTAACTCACCTCATCATTAGCTGATTTCTCTAACACATTTCCAGTCTCTTCAAACATTTCTCTAGAAGAAGACAAATTAAAACCTCTTTAAGCCTGATACTTTTTGCTTTTCAGAAAGAGATAAATGATAGAAAAAGTGAACATAATTAGTAAAAGTAGATCCGTTTACATTAAAAAAGTTTAGTATCAAATTTTTTTTACTTACAGGCTTGATTACTGAAGGAATTTCACGCCTTCTGCTTCTGTTCCAATATTAATAAGCTGAGCACGGCGCTGATCAACAAGAACTGTTAGAGACTTGAGTAACACGTCTTTATCAAGACCGTAAAAAGCTGAAAAATTTGATAAACATAAAAAGAGATACAAATTGATACAAAAGCATGTATGTCAAAACAACAAGGATCAGAAACTTTTTAAGAATGAAATACACATGCATAACTGAGAATCCATATTTTAAAAATAGTAGAGTGCATAAGCTGTGCTTTGTTCTATCCATACATTTTATGAATTTCATTGACAGAGTATTATATTTGTAAAAAACAAGAATGTAAAATATATAAGTTACAGCTTTTAACTGCTTTCATTAACTGTTTCATACAACAAATACTCTTGAAATTCAGTAGAGATGTCAGCAGCAATACTCGAAATTCTAATTATGTTAGAAAAATACATTAAATTTTTTCTTTCTGCATCACTGAAATTCATTTAAAGGCGTTAAACTAGACTCATTAAATTTACTCGACTAACATTCTTGTACTACGTCGTCTCCTTGAGTTATTTCATAAAGAGTACACGGAGTATTCAGTAAGCCGTTACTTACAGCCCACTCGTAAATCAGTATAGCCCACTCCTCTGGACGCCTCCAATAAATATGGCACCTGTTCTTATTTTTATCCAACCAGTCAATGTGCCCTGCGAAAATCTTATTCTGCATTTCTTCTTCATCAATTAAGACTTGTTAGAAGTAACTTAAAACGATAAACTATTTAAAAAAAAATGAAAAAATCTTAAATACAAATGTGTTGGGGTCACAATTACAATTTATTGTTTCAAATTTAAATACTTATGCTTTTGAATTATCGTATTAACATTTTTGAGCTATTTTAGTAAATGAAGTGCAGAAAATTTGCGTAAAAAACTTGGACAAGGAACAGAGCTATGGAAGAAAATCCAAAAGTTTCAACATGCTACTTTCAAAAAAGAATTGATTTTCATCTCAAGACATTACAGATGCCTGAAATAGGAAAATTCCTGAATATTTTTGTAACAAGTACGGAAAACTACTAACTTTTATGCTCGAGGTATTCAAATACAGCTCTTACACCAGCTGACGGCAATTTTCTATTAAGCGTATTGTTAACAAACAATTCCGAATTAGATATATCAGCCAAGTCTAATGTATAAATTTTATAAAATTGACAATAGTCAACAACTAATCGACTCCACGCTTCTAATTGCTTTTCTCGAGTTATCACAGTAGTTTGCAAGCTAAAGAGTGAACGAATAATACAAAATACAACAAGAAAATACAAAAATACAACTGAGGCGTTTGTAATATCACAGAAAAAATACCACATAATATTAGTGGTAATTAACAAAAGCAAAGCACACAATAATCAAGAAAAAAACAAAGGACATTATAAATTCCTAGAAATAAATTATTGCTCGCTAATAGAGAAACTTTGTAACACACTTGTTTCAACGTGTTAGTATATTCATTTCAGTAATCCTGAAATAAAAACGAAAAAATCAATTTCTAGAGTACAACTGCAATTTAATAAGGTATAAACATACGTAAAAAACGGTGGAAATTCATACTGCCATGGCCACTTAAATGACATTTTATTCTTTCAGTCCCATCAAATTTTTTCCATAAAATATTATGCTCTTATGCTCATGAAATGCTGAAAAATAATTTGATATGACACACTCAAATTACCAAATTAATTAATTTTGATAAAATGCTTGAATAAGAGTATACCAGAGGAAATATCTCCGCTACAGGCTCAAAATTCAAAATATATATATATAAAAATTAACCTTCCAAAACTTTGCCGCAAAATCAATCAATACTTGGTGTGAAAAAGTAAATTCCCTAGGACTTTGGAAGGCCACAATACTTATGCTTTGCATGAAAAAATAACTCTCTTCAAATTGCGTAGGACGCGAAATTAATCAAAAATCAAATAATGTTCACTAGCTAGAGTTAACACAAAGAACTCCCTAACTACATAGCACTACAAAGTATGAAGTAAACAAACAAGTCATTGATCCTCAGATTAACAACTTGTGATGGAACAGTGCTGCAGAAGACAACTACGTAAGTTCTACAGCTCTCATGACGGAATGATGTATTGAGGGGAAACGGGGGTGGAGTTAAAAAATAATGTAGGGCGGGGACAAATATTACTGATTTAATTGGGGTCAAGGGTTACTGCTTCTGAGCGTTAATTGATCCGTGCCAGTTTACATGTCTGCGATAGTCGAAGAGGTAAGAAGAGGAAAGACAACTCCGAAGTAGAAGGGAGTTCAAGGTAGCTGGAAAACCACGTTGACAAAACCTGTTGCTTCTACACTTATTATATCCACTTTTCCTTCCTCGAGAATGTGATAGAATAAGTTATTAAAGTAAAGATAGAAGTAGCTCGATACTAATAAGTAACTGGCTGATTACGAGTTATTTATCAGCAGCAGTTGTGGACATCAAAAGATAAGAACACTGAAGCTTCTTCCATACTAAGAAATTTGATTGTATTTATAATGTTTTATATAGATTTTGTGCTTAATTTGTTAATAAAGCTATGCTTTTCATCAAATTACTATATTAAATACTTGTTTGGGCGTGGTGACGTACGTTTTTACCTGAATTATATGTGGTAATTACAAGCTATTTTAGCCAAAAAATCATTTTTTGTGAGCTGATTTTCAAGCATGTAGTTATTTATTCTCTTACAGATGAAGCATGCATAAGATTCGTTGTTAAATTATATAATCTGAAGAATGGTTATGAGAAAAGTGCTATAACACACTGCAATTCGTATGACGTAAATGACAATTTCAGATTTTAGAAGTTTGGAACTATGGAAATGTAAAAAGAAATACAAGTAGAAATGTCGTTATCACGTGGTGTACAGGCCAGCGAATTATGTCTTTATGTTCAAGGTATGAAATATTTGTTTATATTGTTTAATTACTTATGATTTTGCATTTTGCTTAGCGCTGACTATTATTTATGTCAATCTCGCTATGTTATGCTTAACAAATACTTCAGAATTACTTATATCTGAAGGAAGCGTTTAAAAAATATTTGTAGTGTGAAATATGCAAGCGTAATATGATGAGTGATTAAGTCATCATCGTAACAACACTTTTGTGTGGTCACACAGTCAAATTTTTATGACTTACTAAAAAAATTGAGAAAAGTATATGAGCCCTATTTTGTTTTGGTTCTATTAAATATATTTAATTTGATTATTATTTCAGAGAAATGTAGTTCCATATTTGGATCTAAGTTTTGGGATTGTCGGTTGGCATGTGCTGTGGAGTATGGTACAAAATCAGATAAATTAGAATATCGCATTTTTGTACTGACTAAATTTCGAGTTTTTATACTACACGGGAAAACACCATCTTCTTTGAAAATTGACCGAACTTTTCACATTTTATCAATACGTGTTATTCAAGTTGTCAACGATCATGAAGTTATAATTTACACATTTCTTTACAAGAATATAAATTTAAAAAGCTGATTTTAAATATAGTACCATTCTTGAGTGAATAGCTTTTTGATTTGAAAACCAGCAGTATAAATCAATTAAGACAACTTGACGTTTACACTAAAAATGAGTCATAAAATAGTCAGATATTGTTGTCGTTTTTTGCCCTTATCATTTTTCAAAGATACAGTCTGGTAATGGTATCGTATTTTGTCTCTTGATTTTCGTAGTAATTGAAACATAAAAAACAGAAAGTAGTGATAAATTTTTCGGTTTGTAATAATTTGTTTCAGTAAAGAAAAAATTTTCAATGAATTAATCGTTTGAATAGATTGCAGAATCATATTTTTCGTGAAATAAATACTTTTATAGGTCTGCTTTATTCTTGATGAAAGTTATTTGGCTAAAAGGCGGATTTTTATTCGTTTGGAAAATGGTGCCAAAAACATTGCTGTTTCTGTTTTGTCGGCTTTTAAACATTATTTTCCAGACATCACACAAAATTTCAGGTCATTAATTAAAAGTTTATCACTAAGCAGGTTTTTATATATTTAAGAATCACTTCTCCCAAAGTTAATGTGATATTGTTGTGAATTGCGCCACATTATTGATTTCTAAACCTTTTTTCTAGTAAAATTTAACATAAAAATATTTTTGTTGTACATGTTTAACATTTTTAAATGTATTTAGGAATTTTATTGAATTATTACCAGCTGAGCTATTTGATGAATTTCAATTTCTGCCTAATAGCCGACCATATCTACCGTGTCATAATTTCCGACGATCTTATGCTGCTCTTTGTGATTATTATGATTTGCCATTTCGAGATGAAGTTGTTTGGGTACAATTTCTTTATCGTACTCCTTTCTTAATAGTTTTATAGGAAATGATGAAAAGTAATTTGCGGTTACAAATTAATATTGATCTTTTAGGATGTTGAGAAGATATATGCCACCCACGGAGTTCATATTTTAAGGTTGGATGATTTTACTCATCTTCTTTCACGGTTAGTTTTGCATTCAGTAATTTTCTTGTGTACTAATTCATTGAATTGGATTTCATGTTAACAAATGTTTATTTGCATTGTTTAATGTGAACAGTAATGGCATCAATCAAACGATCAGCTTTTCTAACCAAAAAATCTTTCCTTGCGATCTTAAGTCATTGATAATTGAAATGACTTGCTGTTGCCATATTTTAGTTACTTGAGAAAAAAGCAAATTTTTTTAAAGCAATTTAAAAAAGAGAAAAAGTGCTCACTCATATAGTACACTTTTAGAGACTTACTGCCTATCGTAGCTGTCTGTCAGTACTCGTGCTACTTTACGGGCTTATGCGTAGACGATATTAAATTAGGTGCAGAACTTGTGGATATTATTTTGTCAGTTATTCGTAATTCACGCTGTCTCAAAGTGCTTATTCTTCGTAATTGTTCACTTCCGAAGTCAGTTTTTTTCTGAAAATTTTTGAGACATTTTATTGAATTTATTGCTATTAGCAGGACTTAGCGCATTTTAATGTCGTATAATTCTTCTATTTCGTTATATTTGATGAAATGTATAGAATAGAAAGCGGATTATCTAATTAGTTTAATTTTTTTTTAAATAATTTATTTTTCTCATGCAATTTAATGAAGTAATAACATTTGAAATAACTTTGAAGATCTAAACATTTTCAGAGATTTTATTGCCTCGTTTACTTATGCTGTACAAAGTAACATTATGTCCTTGGAGGAAGTCGACTTTTCAAAAAATCTTTTGGAGGATAAAAAGGGTCACTTAGTTTTTGTTAAATTTTTTTGGATTATTTGATGCTATGTGATGTTCTGTAAATTAATTCCTTAAACTACAAACAATCAGCTTGCTAATGTTATTCATTTTTATTATGTTTTAGGCTTTGTTAGTTTGTCGCCTGTTCTGTCAAAAATGACATCTCTTCAGTCGCTGACCTTTTCGGACTGTGCAATGTCAGAAAAGAGCATCAATCTTATTTGCTATGGAATATTGCAAGGCATTAAAGGAAAGGCTTCTATTGATTGCAAATTCCTCACAACACTTGACTTTTCGGGAAACAATTTGAAAGATGTAATCAGTAATGAATAGCTCTACTTAAATTGTGGAAGTGTTTTTGGTGTTTCTTACTCTTCTTCAGCATAGCTCATTTTTAGTGTTTATGGTCAACAGTGGTAGTGCATGATCCATTGCAAATTAATTTCATGAACCGTGCTGCTATTACTCATTTTCCATATTTTTTGCAGAGTATTGTCCAGCTTTCAGTTGTAGAATTGAAATGCTCTGCTAAAGATGAAATTGTAATTCAGGAAATATGATTCATTATTTCTAAAAAAAGATTCTACATGCCGTGATCATGTATCGAATGAAATGCGCATTAAATGAATTAATGAATTCATTACCTAATTGCTGTGTACAGATTATTGATTTGTCTAATTTTCTCAATATTTTTATTTCTAGTTGAACTCTTTTCGACTTTAATTCATCGTTTTCAGGATATTAGTGATTTACTGCAATTGCTATCGTTGTGTACTAATCTTCGAGTTCTAAATCTTTCCGGAACTAGTCTTAATATTGATAGATTATGGGCTTCTCTCATTTATGGAGGTTTACAGCTGGAAATATTGAAGTTAGTTTGTAATTTGGTTTTTAAATTTGCATGAAATATTTAGTGACCGTGAATTTCGTTTTTACGTAGATAATTTGAAACCAAGACATTAACTTTTCAACTTTCATTTATCATTTTCTGCGGATAAAAATTGGAATGTTGCAATTATTACCTTTAAAAATTTTGCAGATAATGTCGCAGTTTTCATTTTATTTTAATAAAATTCTAGGCTAGCGAGTTGTCAGACTGGTCGTCGTAGCAAAGAAAATGCGCAGCAAATGAAAGAATATTTTTCTACCGCTGTGGCTCTGAAACAGCTTGATTTTTCGAATACTACACTTAATGCAGATATTTTGAAGGCAATAATTCTGTTTTTTCTTCATTCAAGAATTCAACCTACTGCTAGATTTTTGGCCAAAATACAATACAATATATAATGAGCTTAAAATAAACTAACTGTTCTGTACCTAATAATAATCATAACTTCTTAAAGGTTCAGTAAAATTTGAAAGGATGATAGCAGAGTATATATTTTATTGATTTTTTAGGCATTGCTTCTTGGTCTTGCCAGCAATCAACAATTAAAACCACTGATTCTGTGTCTCAATGGAGTTTGTGATAGGTAACGAAGTTTTTGATTTTGGGTTGCAACTTGTGCCCATCAATTGTTTGCTGACGATTCCATTATTATTTATGTGGCGCGATTTCAATATAGATTTTAAATTTGTTTTTTAATCACTATTGTACTGATTAAAAAGACTGATTGTTATATGAATCTGTTAATCAAATACTGCATACTTAAAAACATTATCAGATGTACTTTACGTGTAATTCCAGTAAATACGTATAATTAGTTCCTTTCAGTCATTAAATTTTTGCATAAATTAACTCTTTGCACTTGGCTTCCTCATTAACTTCTTTTGCCGGAACTATTAGTTTGCTCACTACATGAATAATAATTAAGAAATTTCATTCTATTAATGCATCAGAAAAATTTAATTAACGTTGTCCAGTAAAACTATTGCAGGAATTCAATAACAGTTTTGGAGACATGTCTTAGTGGAGTAAATGTTTCATCATTATCATTGAAAGATAACAATTTGGATGTAGAGTTGTTGCCTGTTGTCATAGCAGCCTCCCAAATGCGTTATCTCACGAAATTAGATTTGAGTGGCACAAATTTCCCAAATTGGAAGCGAGGTTCAAAAAACTTAAGTGCGGTATCTAACACTTTGCTAGAAATCATCAAGCTTGTTGGTGAGGATGACTCAGTATGTTTTCTTAATCCTTCTGCATATAATTTCTAGATTTATTTAAACTCCTTTTTTTGAGTAACTGGTCATCAATTTGCGGGGAAACTAATTATAATTACAAAGATGAAATTAATGGTAAAGAGTGAAGTAAAATATATTTCCAGTGGTTTGCAAATTAATGATGAAAGTTTTAAATTTATGGTATAACAAATATTCGAAAAAATCTTACTTTACTACCAAGAAAAGAAATATCTGCATTTCTTTTAGAGGTTACATGATCTATCAATAGCAGATTGCCGACTGGGATCTCATCTTAGCATATTGTTAAATACTTTGGGTGTTGCATCTTCTTTGCAGTCTCTTGATATAAGTGGCAAGCTTTGTAAAAATTTGTTCTTATGCAAAATTTTTAATTTTATGCTTTTTTCTTAGATCAGTAGAAACTCTTAAATAAACTGAATGCTTTTACAGGTAATGATATGGGTAATTTCGGAGCTCGTCTTCTTGCAAAAGCGTTGCAGATCAATTGCTCTTTGAAGAAAGTTCTTATTGATAGAAATCAGATCACCGGTGATGGATTTGCGGATATTGCTCATGCATTAAAATTATAAGTTTTTGACCAAAAATATCACTTCATAATTAATCATCTTAATGATTGAACGGAAATTGTTGTCGAAGGAAAATTTTACTAGAACTAGAAATTTCCTAGCTTTACAAAATTTTGGTGAGCGCATCAAAGACTTTTAGTACCTGAGTTTAAAGGTCGGTAAAATTTCCTTGTTGATGTAATTTTTTTTAGGAATTCAACGCTTCTTTCTCTTCCGTTTCCTGTTATTGATGTTGCAGAATCCTTGAATCGAGCAGATCGCACAAAAACACTGGCAGCTCTAACAGAAGTAAGAGCTCTCTTACTTCACAGAAGTAAAATAATTGTTGTAAAAGATATAATAGACATTTATAAAAAATTAAATCTTTTTAAGGACAAAATATTTCAGATCGAATTATGTATAGAAAAAAATCGTGCGGGGCGTAGTCATTCAGAAAAACAGTACATGTGTTCGATTTTAGCTTCAAAGCAGGTGGAATGCAAGCCATATATCATAATTTTTTACTTCATAAAGAGTGGGATCAAGAACATACTCTTTTATTTGTGGTATCAAATTTTTTTCCCCTTTTCAGTCGATTTTTAAATCTTTCTTGTTTTCAGGAGGTAGGGACTTGTGATGACGGAAATATAAAAAATGGTTCGGAAGAACTTATGCGCTCTTTGAACACATTAGATTTATCTGAGGAGTTGGATATTGAAATGGAAAAAGCGGCTTATGATGTTATGTCTCGTTTGGATGATATTGTACTAAATGCTGTTGGGGTCAGTTTTTTACTATATATTGTATTAAAAATTATTCTTATATGACATTGAGGTAAATCTTTTCCACTCTATTGATTGTGGTGCTAGATCGTATTCCAACATTCTGGCTGTACTTATCCCACGCTCAAATTTATTTTCCTGATCTTTATCCTCGTGAAATCTATATTGATGATCATATCCTCGTGAAATCCATATTGGAGTTACTTTTCATACTTTCAAGCATCTTCTTGAATTCCATGGATTAAATATATGCCTCGACATAATCATATTATATATGCTGATCTCCGTACTTTTGGAAGTTCGTTGCATTCCTCTACCAATCATCACATACGAATTATTTTCGCCCTGCATTTCATCTCTGACCCATACCAGTAGATAATATTTTCTCCTTTTTTCTGTCCTGACTGCTATCAACCTATCTTGACTAGTGATGCAAACCTTTATAAGCATTTATCTAATGTCGCCTCTTATTTTACGATAAAAAGCGACATGAGGTCGTGATATCCGGTCGATCCGCATTTATCTTTACTAGTTGTTCTTACTCGCGTATCAACTCTGATCTCTACGTCCACATTCGCGACGCATAGAATGTATTTCGCATCCTTCCACACTATACTTTTTGCAGAATCCCAAGTAGATGATCGTTATGACTTCCTTGTGTGTCTTCTAGTATAGTCGTAAAGTAACATTTTTTCGCATTTTGTTGCTAGATAGTCCACCGTCTTCATCGTTGCCTACAGTCTTGGCACATACCTTTCTTAGCTGCAAACATATTTCCATTTTGGTGGTTACAGTATTGTGCTTCATCTTACGGGGTAATGTTTTCGTATCATAGCCATGTTGGTGAATCAGCTATGAACAAGATTTTATTCGTCCTCATCTTGTTTAGCTTTGCATGATGAGTTTTCTTTTCTATTTCGCTATAAAAACTGCTAATACGTTTACCACTGTAGGATTTTCTGCGAGATTGTACCTAGTCTTTAGGTAGGGCATAATAACTGCAGATACTTTTTATGAATAAATTACATATATATGTAATGTATGTAATGTTACTTGCAGCATTCATTACAACCAATACTAAAAGCCGCTGGAAAAGAAAACTCGAATGAATATACTCTTTCTGTAAAGCGTAATTCACTTGCTCATACAACTTTGATGAATAATATCACCAACTACTTATGGTAATTCTCTTGAAGTTTATCTTCCTTTCTTTAGAAACATATATTTATGAGTTCAAAGTTAACATGCCCAGTACAAAATCTTTCAACTAGTCTCACTGACATTTTATTAATAAGTCTAACTCATATGAAACCCATTAATTATTTTTGCATAATTCGTGTTCTCATAGATCAACCAGTGGAATTGGATATTGACCGATCATAAGAATGTATTAAATGCATAGCTTTCATGTCAGCAGTTTAAGAGTGCCTGAAAAATTAGCTATTTCTATGATTCATCGTTTCACTTGCGTTTTCTTAGTGAAACAAAATGGAAGATGATCAGTGGAACTGTGCAAAAAATTGTAAATAATTATCGTGCTCAGTGTAACAGCACAGAAAAAGATGGTCCTGAAAATGTGCAGAACAGTGGTAATGGTTCACCGAATATTAACTTATTAAATTCGTCTAAGTCAATCCCTTCAAGGTAATAAGTTTTGTTGTCTAAACTTGACCTCATGTTTTAACTCGTGATCATTATTATCCTTTTTTTTGTTGTTATTTTGATCTTTATGAACTGAATAAAGTTCTTTCAATTTTATTTATTTAGATCGCATCGACCAAAATCAGTAATTACTGAATTAACCAGTGATGAGATAGAAGATAAGGTAAATTTGGATGCGCCTCCTATGCCATCAGCTTTAAGTCATCCATCAAAATGCCGTCCAAGGCCGATGAGAAATTTCAAGAATATCAAGGTTTTCAAAAATTTTCAATATTTCTGTAATTTGGAGTTATATTTTTATTTATATTTGGAATTATTTGTATTTTTGGTGGGGAAGTTACCTCTGACTAGTGTGTCTTAAATTACTGGAGACAGTGATAACGATTTTCAGCCACAACTAAGTTTGGAGGAATTTCAACAAATTCGTTGTGATGGTGAAAGTGTTGATGACTGCGCAGTTTATGATATAGCTGCTAATGAATCGTCGAATTGTTCGCCTCGAGAGTCAGAGATTGAACATTCTAATGATTTGTCGATAGTTGATGGAAATCGTCCACGTTCGCCAGCTGCTTCGCGTATTTGTACTACATTGTTATCTCAAGAACATTTTACTGAATTAAATGCAAGTATAATGGAACCATCTGCACCACCTCTGCTAACATCAGCTTCTGTTTCCTCTGCAGTAGCACCACCTATTGTGCCTAGACGCAATAAGGCTTGCATAGCATTGGTACCTCCAACTTTACCACCGAAACCAGAGCAGATTGTTGCAGCTCGTCCAGTTAGTTGTTCTGATGATGAAAACAGATCAGGTCGTAAATCGGTTGCTGATATGGCTCGTTTGTTTTCATCTACGGATACTCCATTTGGTCGACGTTCATGATTCAATGAGTAATATCTTGTTGCCTTTTTCACAGCCTTTTAATTTCTAATGGATTTTCTTCTATCAAACTCCGTTGTATCTTGTCTTAAAGTATAAATTCCGTATGGTTTCTGTTTTGTTTTGGAATGCGTCTCTTCACTATGAGCATAATTTGTCACTGTCTTCTTTCCATTGAACACTTACTTACTTTTTATACTGGGAGAATAATGCTGTCATTTCATATTCTCATAATATTTCTGAACCAAGGTTTGAGAAAGTATATGTATGTCTGAGATCAGGAAACAGATTGAGTTGCATGATTTATTTGTAGACAAATAATGCGTGGGAGAAGTGTGCGTCACAATTCTTGCCTCTTCCATTCATACTTTTTGCCACGTATCAAAATGAGAAGGCAATAAATGTATGTATGAAAGTAATAAAAAAGCAGTGCATTTCTATTTTCGCTGCAGTTATTGATTGTGCAGGAATGTTGGCTTGTAGAAATATAAGCAAGCTGTAAGTTGGAGAAAAAAGAGCTAGAGGAAAAGAAAGGAAAAAGGCACTGAGGTGGGGTGGGGTGGAGTGGAGTGGAGGAGGTGAATGCAAACTTGTGTAGTGCTATTTGGTATTGTTGGCCAGAGAGTGACAGATTTGATAACAGTTCTGAGCAATAATAGATGTAGTAGAAGTCATCGTAATCAGTTTTTCCAGCTGTTAGATATCACAAAATGTGTGTGGTATTTGTTTAATCCAAAAGAATACAGAGGCAGAGGTAGGGGAACTTAGTGAAGGCAGTGACGGGTATTATTAGATGATTGAAGAGTCCGAGATGTGATTCTCACTCTTTGATGACCTTTTCCGCTTTCTTCCATGCATTTGTTTTACATGTATTGCACTGATTAACTACTGATTTCGTTTTAGGTATCTGAGGATTGTGCTATAAATTTTTGTTAAACGTATTTCGGTCTTTTTGTCAATTGTCTAAATTTCAATGCTATACAGTTGTTTGATTATTTCTTTCACTTGGCATATAGATCTTTAATATAATTCAGATTATGCCAAGTAAGCAAATGCTCATATTCTCATTACATCTATATTTGAACAGTTACTGATGAAAATTTGAATCTATAATGATTAATTTGCTTACAATTGGACTATGCTTAAAGTAGTGTTGCAGTTGTTTCGTATTAGAAGTGAAAAGTTTTAATTTGAGTAAGGATTTTTTATGCTTAGATTCTTTGAGCATTCATTTTTCACGTCTTTAGACAAATTATTTCTGGCATATTGAGGAAGTAAGTTTTAGATGTTAATTGAGATAAAGCATGTTTAGTTATACCTTAATGAGGGCACAGAGTGACATGTTTGGTAATTAGTATTTAATAACTTTCATTGATACAAAGTGCCTCTTGGGAACTGCTCTTATATGTGATTACTAGGAGTGCTGTTGTCATATTCATTCATTCTTCATTCATTCACTAACAATCTTATCATTCTTATCCTTTCTTATACGGTCAAAATTTTCATCTATTTGACTTCACAGGCTTATTTCTCTTCCAATTGTGGTATTTCGTATCATAAACGTGGTTGTTTCATCTTTTTGGATTTTGTTTGAATATGAAATTGTTTTTTCTTTACAACATTTAAAAATATATCTTTCTTGCAATGTATTTGTAAATAAAGCATTTGAAAATAGCAAATTATGTGTTGTGTGTGTGTGTGTGTGTGTATAAGTGAAGAAGTTGCTGTTTACTCTGAGTTTTATTTTCTACGCAACACTGCAAAACTTTTATACGTCTACTAGTTTTTTGTTTTTACTTTTCGGCGTGAAGGAGGGAAAGAGTAAGAAGTTGCGTTATTTGATTTGAACTTTGTTCCTTTATTCGAATTGCTTTTCGTTCATATTAGTCAGCAGCTCCGGCATTTTAGTGGGTTGTTTTCAGCTTTTGAAGGTTTTAATTTAGTCCATTTTAATTGTTATTAATATTTTGGTTATGTGGAAAAAAGATTAGTCTAGTTGTAGGTTTTAATTTATTGCATGAAATGTTTGTCTCTTGAAGTTGAAATATTTTATATTTGCCATCAAATAAGTGCCATAAACATTTCGTAGTTTATAAAAAAGTTCTACAAAGGTGTTTTTGTATTTTTATTTATTATATTTCAATTTTAAGTTGATGAGAAGAAAGTTCAACTTTCTGTATTTTTCTCTTGCAATTTACAAATAAAATTAACTCCAAAAAGTATGAGTTGATATGAAGCGGTCGTTTAATAGTTATTAAATGTGTTTTAGTTAAAGCTTGCACTATCATATATTCACAGCTTTGTTTTCTAAAGAACCTAAGGAGTTTTGAATTAATTTCTTAAAAGTTGAGTTGCATATCAGTAAGAAGTACTATACTAAGTTATAATGATTTATCGATGGTATAGTACAGTCTTTACTGCAATTAGCATAGGAAATTCGAGGAGTTTTTTGCATATGTTATAATTAGAGTGGTTTAAATTTGATATTTGGTTATAATTCTTGCTGGAAGCGCAAGAGGTATGGGTGGGTTGATGGTGTAGGGTAGGAGATATAGCGAGGCTAGCATCTGAAATGTAAACAGGCGCGATTGAGAGCGTTTTTCTGTTGTGTGTGGGATAATAGTTTGTGGCTCGTTGTAATGCGGAAACTAAGGTATGTATGGTATGGCATTCGCTATATTGTAGCATATGTACTTACATATATATGTGTTACATCCATTAGTATTAGTTTTTTTGCAATTGCTATGCTACCAGTGTGAAATATAGAAACGAACGCAGCTGACGAATAATTTTCTTCAATCATTATTTTTTGCTGAGTGAATAATGAGTGAGTCAGTTATTTAATATTAATATATTCATGAATACATTTTTAACTGTGCATTCAGTTCACATATTTTAGTGGTCTCCTTGAAAGCAAGGTGTTAACTGATGGTATATTAAGATTAAGTTTTTTGCATGAGATGAGATTTTCATTTTATGCTCTGCTGTAATGATTTTTTTTCGGCTAATAATTATGATGATTGTAATATTCGTCCATTGTGCTGGGATGCCGGTATTATTTGCTGCTACTATTGTTATTTGAGATCACTTTAGATTGGTGTTTGTGGTATATTTTAATGACGGAAGTCTGTTAGGGTTACTTCTTTGCAGTTGTTACTTATTGTTTTATTACAGCTTATGTATGAGATCGTGAAACAAATTGTATATTTATTGCTGGTAGAAAGTGTGAATTTCAAGGTCAAGCTCATATCACTTAGTCTTTCGCACTATTACTTAATTATCCTTGAAGAGGGCCAGTAAGTTTGTCGCTAATATTGATGCGTGCCAGTTTTGTTATATTATTTGTTATTGTAAAAATTAGCGTAGACATAACATGCGTCAAAACATGTAGTGTTATATTAGCAGTTAAATATAGGAATGATTTTGTCCTTGACCTAGTATGTTCTAAAATATGATCCTAAAGTCTCGTAACTGATAGATTAATTTGTTAATCGTGAAAACAATTAGTATTTGATTTTAAGTATATGTTGAGTCACAGTACATTTAAGTCTTAAAGCTTGTGATTATGTTTTCGCTTGATTACGAGTGGAAATTCTTCAAAGAACTTGCAGTTGAAAAAGCAGTGTTGTAATACGTGTCGTCGTGACATTACTTTTTGATGATTGTATTAATTTTACTTTCATATTTCAGGCGTATTTAAAATTCCGTCATATTTACTTTATATACACTTCATTATTTATTGAAAATATCAATCCTACTAGTTTATCTGGTAGAAATCATAGTAGTAAAAGAAGGAGAGTGTAGTCGTGGTGAGAACGGTCCAGATACGCTGCAGGGTTCGAGCGTGTGTGGACTTTGATTTTGGCTTAGAAGCCCGAAAAAATTGTTGAAAATTTCGCCAGAGGAGCACAAAGACGGTCTATCGCCGCCATTAACACGAATTTCTTCATCGGTTCGTATATCTTATTTATTATTCTATTTAATATCCGGTGCCATGTTTATTTTGATATAATTGTTAAATTTTTCGATCTGTCGGTTATAATATTGCTGATTCCAATTTAGGTTATAAGAGAGCTTTGCACTGCTCTGCTTTCCTCGGATCCTATTCCACGTCCAGGTAGCGCTCAGATCAAACTTGACGTAAACGCAGAGCCTCCGTGGGATCCTGATCCATTTTATTATTTGTACGTCGTGTTGTATTTGAGAATATTAACAGTGCCTAAATTGTATTAGTGTTTCACTCAGTGTGAACTCACTTGTTTATTTCATATCAGAAATTCTACATTTATCCACATCCGATCTTTATTTATAATTAGACAAACTTACTTTTATTTCAGTGTTACCGGATTAATCCAGCTATAAATGCTCTATTGGTGCATCCAAAATTTTCTCTCGTAATTACATCGACCAAGTTCACCCCTCAGTTTTGGTTTCTCTATCAAGAGGAAGGCCTTGTCACTGGACCGGAGTCGTTAAAAGGCGTGCATTTTGCGTAAGATTGCACAGGCCACCCTAATTCAAAATACAGTTTGAAGTATGTTTTATTTTTCCTTTTCCAAAAATAGTTTTTGTTTTTGAAATTACTTTTAATCCATTAAACATCTGAATATTAGTTCAGTAATTTCAGCGTTTATAATTTCAACAAATTCCCGTGTATGGAAGATACTAAGCAGTTTATTTTACCAATCAAAAAATCAAGCGATTTTTTTGACGTGATTCGGAAATTAATTACGGCTAAAGAAGCTCAGGTATGTGAATTATCTTAATTTTAAATATTTGAAATTTAATTCTTATATTTGGCAACTCTTACAGCTAACCAAATGGTTGATTAGCTGTTGAAAACATTCAAAAGCAATGGAAGTAGTAGTATTAGATAAATATATGAAATAGTTTTTCAGTCCTAACGGGTGTTTAATTTTTGATTTTGATAAATTATTCATTCATGATACTGCTGTCCATGAATTCCATATTAACTTTTTCGTTTTCTTTCATTTATCTATTTTGCGCACCAATTAGTTCCATGTTTGTAGAATAACAATGCTCCTTTTTTTGTGATGAATATGAGACTAATTACGATTGTGGTGAAGAATTGGTATTCAAAAATGCCAAATATTGAACCCTTTTATCCGATACGATGCAATTCAGATCATGTTTTTTTGAAGCTACTGACTCACAATGGTGAAATGGGTTTATGTTGTAGCAACCGAGAAGAAGCTGAAATAGTTCGTTTTTCCTTATTTTTTCTCTTTATAAAGGAAAAATTACATGCGTTACAACTTATTTTATACTTGATAATTTGCTCATATCTTTAATTTTAAATTCGACTAATCTCTCGTTGTATAACCTTCTTTGAAATTGTACAAAAATGTTTGTGCCAAGCAATTCAATTTCAAAATATTTTAGGCAGCCAACTTAATCTCTGTTGACAGAATTATTTATCATAATCCACTGTGGACACGCGGTAATATTCGACATGCTAGAGAATGTGGTATCAAGACATTCATTGTAGAGTCAGAAGATGATTTGAGACGTTTTACCACATTTTATCCTGATGCAAACATAATTTTACGTGTAGTCATGGACCAGAAATTAATCAGTGATCCTCTCACCGCAGATAATTTCAATGTGGAAAGAGCTGCTCATTTGCTAAGCAAAACGGAAAATTCATCTTTGAAGTTAATTGGAATTAGGTATACTAGTTCATTTTTCTGTCCTAAAAATAATGTTCTTGTTTAGAAGCGAAAGATCTTTGTCACTTTTTAAAAGTTTCTGTTTAGGTTTTTTAGTTCCATCATTGCTTGCGCCGATTATTTTATCGAAGACTTATGAAAACATATCATCTGAATTCATCCATTTTTATTGTACCGAAACTTAGTTTAATCCAAAAATAATTTCAGTATCTCCGTACGTTCAAATGGTCCATCACCAACCATGTATTCTTATGCTATAGCTCAGTGTCGACGACTGTTTGATATTGGAAGTGAATTTGGGCATAAATTCTGTATATTGGATCTGGGAGAACAATTTCCAAGTATCACAGCAACTTCTGGCTTATCATTTGATCAGGTTGCTGATTCAGTGCGTGTTTCTCTCTCGTTGCTGTTTCCATCGAAACTTTTCAAACACGTAAAAATAATAGCCAGACCAGGCACTTATTTCGCCGCATCTTCATGTTCCTTCGTTACTCGTATTATCGGAAAACAAGTGGTTGACTCGAGTATTTTAACAAATTATGGTAATTGTTGCGTTAATTATTTATATAATATTGTTCAATTTGACTCATTTGTAGAATTCGTTAATAAATGCGCTTTTTTCGAAGCTAATGGCAATAACACATATTATTTGCAGAGTCAAACGCCGATAGCACTGCTTACATTTACCAAATCAATGAGGGATTTTATGGGGCTTTTGGTTGCAAACTGTTGACTCATTGTGATCCTACTTGCTCGCCTCTAATAGATGACGGTGGAAAACTGGATACATTTGCAGCAATTGTTGGTCCTGATCCATGTCATAACGATGTTGTTTTGCCACTTACTAGACTTCCAGTTCTACAGGTATTTTCATTCATGATTTTGATTTAGATCTGGATTTAACATAATAAAATCACTTTGTGTCTCATAAAAATTTTTCTGATTTCTTTTGCAATGAATTATTTCAAGTCTTTGATAGTATTCATGGCTCAAGTTTATTTTTCTAAATTAAATAGTCAAATTTTTGCAAGTCATATGCTCAATTTATTAAATTGCTTATTTCAAGGTGAATGATTGGCTAATTTGGCACGATATGGGAGCTTATACTATGGGTAACTGTAGTACACTAAATGGAGAAAACATTCCTTTACCAACCATCCATTACTATTGGGAAAGTGATACAACTACGTTCGTTTTTTGAATTTTTTATTTAATCTATTGTTGTTAGAGTTTCAGTAAAATATATATAAGGAATATTAAGTTTATAAGATCTGTGAACATACAGAGCGTGTTGCAAATCCTTTGTTTTTAAATATGAGCTTTAATCTCTCTGGAATAATTATCTATTTTTAGACATTAGTAATAAAAACTAAGAAAAAACTAGTTTTTTCTTCTTAATTTATCACGCATCAATTATTCGTAGATTAAACCTCAAAACATTTTTTGTTTGAAGTTGCGAGATTTCTTATAATTTAAAATGAGTGTTTCAGAACTATTCTGAGCTCAGAAGATCTGTCATTAATGGGAAATGAAATAAATGTTTCTTTTTGGGAAATACTGGATTTTAATAACGGAAATCAGAAGGAAAACGTCGAAATTGTGGAATAGTGCCGAAGTGTGTCTTCTTAACGACTTGTTAATTTGAAAGTATATGGCAAAGCTACTGAGGGGTGAAAATACGATTGAATAAGTCTGATTACTTAGAACATTTCAGTTAGTATTGTGTCTTTACTGTCTATGCAACTATAGGTTTCGCTTTCTCATATTGATCAAAAGTTTCTTTGTTGTATTCAAATTACTTCACATCCATTGTAATGTAATTTCGTAGTTTCGGCATTATGGGTTCTTTCTCTTCTCATTGTTTTAAAACATAATTATCCAAAAATTCTTTCCGCGTTACTTCTGTTTAACAACTTTGACTGTAGTTCCGAGCTGTATATTTCTACATCTCCATGATTTTGGTATTAAATTATTGCTGCCTTCCCTATTGTGATGAACTGTGTTTTATATTTTTGTGGAAGCACTCAATTGTGCCTCATTGTATTTTCCTGTGTTACTTAGAAAATTGAGGATTCTAACGGTCCCAATATAGATTTATTGTTGTTGGAAATAATCATCCATCTTGATAACAAACTGTTTCACTCACATTGCAAAATGTAGTTATTGTTTCTTACGCTATCGAAGTTTCGGTTTGATGCTGTTTTAAATGCCATAAATTGCTTACTATCCGTATTACTCATTATTTTGAATATAAATTGCATACATAAATTGTCTTTGGGTAAGTTGGAAACTATTAAGTTTCAGTCCTTGTTATAATGAAATCCAAGACATGTGTATGGTGATCTACTGTTGTTATACGAGTATAGATATCTAATTTCTGAAAGGGGAGATATATCCTTTTTGTCCTGATGTGTTAAATATTCAGAACCATGATATTGAATAGAGGAATGCACGGCTTAATTATGATTAGTACATTTGGACTTAGTCACAGAAATTAGATACTAAGAAATTTCTGGTAATCAAAGACAGTACCGGTAAATGAATATAAATTGATATGCATATGGGATTAATTCGAATCTTTTTTGCTTCTGAAATATTAAATGTGTCTCGAATACTCTTCGGCGGAGCTTCTATTTCGTTTTATAACTGGTTATTTTCTGTGGGTTTTGAGTTCTAATGAAGTGATTTTTTACATATAAGTGGATCTTAGAAAGACGATTTCTGTATGCGATACATCGACTCTAAGACAGCGGATTATTGCCGGTTACTATCAGAACTGGGAAGGCACTGACGAAAGGTTATGTGGGCCCTTTTTCAAAGTGTATCTGGAAAATTTCAGATTCGAGAATACGAATGGTAATATAAGCATGGAAAGAATCTGGAGAACTAATTATCTATGAAGTTTTTGTCTATCTTAACTACGAAGCACAGCTTTTGCTGAGATTTAAGTATTCCACTCATGCGCTAAGTAAAGACAGGAGAAGTTATTCAGGATAAACAAGCAGAGGAGGTACTTTCTTCTGGCATAACACTTTGGTCACGTGATTGCATTAAAGTAATATCCATCTTCTCCAGAGTAAGCTTATAAGTCAACACTTATGAGTAATTTGAAATGATGTAAAGAGAAGTTTTGAGAAACTTCAATTACCAGAAATTTGTCGCAGTTTCATGTTCCGGAATTTTTATACTTTTGAATCAAATTATCTACTAATAGCACGCAGCTTCCACAGGTAGTTTCGCTATTACGTTTATAATATTTGGAAATGAAGGATATAATTTAATCAGTCACATCACATGTATTGTTTTTTCTACCACACTTCTAATATAAATAATGCATGAGTTATTTTTGTCATTTACAGACTTCCACCTGAAGCTACCTGTTGGATCAATCAGCATTATATTTTATCTCCTGAGTTTCGGAATGAACTGATTAATTAAAAAAATATTTCAAACATTTGTTTCGTAACTTATTCACTAAATTCTGAAAGCACATTATTTTATGCATTAAACCTTTTTAACATAGAAAATGCCAAAACCATTGTTGCACACATCGAATTGTTGACATAGTTTTATCCGAACTGAGTTATCTTCATCCAAGTTTCTAAACTTACTTACATGATATTTATCAGTATGATTCATCAAAACTGCATGCAAAACTTCAATTAAAACGTCGGGAAGAAATGACTTGAATCGGTCTTGTGGATTACATGGTATACCAAATATCTGCAAGAATAAATAAAATCATCAAAAAATTTACTATCGCTTTATTGATTCGCGCTATATTAATTTGTCAACAATTGTGAATATCATCCGTGTACAAAACTATTTTGATGATTTTATTATCTGAACAATTTGATTGATACGTTCTAGTTCAATCGATTCCTTAATAATTTCAAAAATTCATGTTGCATTTTCTGGACAACTTCACTGGACCAAATAACACAAATTTTGGTTTCAAATTCTCAGTTCGCTACAAATTGGTTTTTTTATTTTGAAAAAAATTTCCTACCTTCAAATTATCAGATTTATTATCTGACATTTCGATCATGAAATCAGAAACACAACGTAGGATATTATTAAAACCGGAGAGTAATTTTTCTGTGAACAGATCAACAGCCAATAAATGTTCGAGATATTTCATCTGATCATTTGCCTAAAACAAGTCATTTATAAGAAGAGTTGCTTGATGTAGGTGAATACAGAAATTCACATATATAAAGTAAATAAAAGACTTCATATTAATATTTAAAAACTTGCCTTATATTCTAGACATAAATTTGTCATGAAATATGTGGCGTCATACGGGTTGTAGGTCGAGAAGTACGTGAAATTAAGTGAGTGCTTCTGACAAAATGATGCCAAAAACCAAGGAGCATAAAGTGTTTCATATATGTGGTTCTTGAGCAGTTCCTGGGTATTCGTAATTAGTGGCACTTAAAAAATTTCAAATTCGATAAGAAAAGTTTGCTACTGATTTTCTGCTTCGTGCTAATAACCAAGACACAACTATAAAAAATTCAATGGCAGTAAATTACGAAATATGGAGAGAATTCGAGTATTAATAACATTCAGTCAGAAGTCACAGTGTTTTGAAATCCTTCTTCAATAACGGTTTGATTACGAACACAAAGTTTGAATACCCAACAAACATTGGAAAAAAAAAGCTCTTTAAGTACGAAATTCGGAATATCTATTGATTATTTAAAATATAAAACAAAATGCCTACTGCTGTTGCTTTTTACTTATTTCCATACCACTTGTGTACGACAAATTAAATGAATAATGACTCATTAATTACATGTGAAATAACCTTCTGAAGGGTGAAGCGCATTGATGTAAATGATGTCGCTTGGGGACACTTCAATTATTTCACTAGTGTCAGCGTGCTGTGAATCAAATGGATGCTTGCTAATTATAAATTCCCCACGGTCGGACAAACCAGATTGACGGAATTCCTGAAAATTTGAAAGAGCAATTGGAAGCTCAAATAATCAGTAATAGTATTTGCAATGTTCGATCAATAAACCGGACTCGTTTCATAACTGACTTAAACTAATAATAATTAGACTGAACTTTAATTTGCATCAACAAATCAAGTACGAACTAAATTATTTATAATTCACAACTTACTTCGTGCACTTATATATAGTCTCAAATATATCACACCATCAAGAGCTTGGAATTCTGAACTTAACTTTGGTTTTTCTTTGCTAAAGACGTCAAGTAATTCTTATAGACTTTCATTATTTTTGCCTTCGAAAACTGAAGCGATAAATGAAGAAATTTCACATCATAAAATCTAAACTTCTGCCTTCAATACAAGGATTATGATTATTCTTAAGTATTATGTGAAATTTTAAAGTAATAACCAGTTCATTGACATAAGTTTAAAGTAAGTGAAATACTTCAAACTTCCACCTTAGTAGTTATAAAGTGACTGCAGTATTGCAAAATTTTCTTGGTACCGTAAATAAGGATTTTACGCGGCATTAATATTTCACTCACTACATCACGGCAAATATTGTGCATTTTGTACGATACCGGATAAATACCTAAATCACGCAAATCTAATTTTTTGATTGCAAAAACAAATGGTCAAACTTTTCTGAAAAATATTTATTTTGTTGATACACAGTTCACTATAAGTAGCACTTCTTCAGACCTTTGAAAAAATGGAATTTCGCTTTCCATTGCAATACACTTTCAGCTTTCAACGATGACATTATCGACGCAGGGGAATTGATTTGTTCAGTTGGTTCATTCTTAATTCTCTGAAAACATAATGCTCTTAAGAAATAGCTTTCTATCCACTATAAACATATTTCTAATTGTGGCTGAACTTACTTCCATTATACTTGCAATACCTCTCCAAATCAACTATTTACGTTGACACTTTAAAAGTCTAGTCATACTCAATTTTTTTTGAAAAATTTAGTTTCAAAGTTGAAATACTTAATTGTGTTAAAGGACCAAAAAAATGATCAATGAAATATTAAACTTATCAGCAAGTAATAAACAAATAAGAATTTAAATATTAAAAAAAAATTATAGCAAATTCACTGAATCACTGATGCAGAGGCCTTTTTGTTCACGTCCATGAAATCTTGAAAAAAATTTTTGAAAGTAAGATCTGCAGTTTTGCGAAAAGCGTGAAAATCAGTATAAAATTCCTCCAAAGTCTAACTTCAAATTTATTTTCGGAGATAGACAGCCAGCTACTTCCAAAATATTTCTAATCCATTAAAAAATCAAACTTTTTATTGATAAAATATTGACCTTTTTCAATAACAATCAACCAGCAAAAATTTTTTGTTTCTATCGGTAATTTCGTACTATTAGACACAAACTATAAGTAAAAAGAATATTATGATTCCGAAAATAAGTAAGCGAAAAATACGTTCCAAAAAGATCAAAAAATTAATTCATTACCAGATTCTAGTTTCCACTAGTCAATATTTCTTCACTCTATTATTTACAATACTACAAGGAAAAAACCTTTTGGATAAATCCTCTAATATCAAGACCATTAGGGCAATCGATTTGACCTCCAATATTATATACTTCACCAAGTTTCCCACTTTTCAAACAATCATTTATACCGTCTAATGCATCTTCCATATGTATCATACTCCATGGTATTAATCTTTCCACATCATCTCAAAATAGAGCGAAATTGTTTTCTAAACTAATAAGCTCAAAGAATTTGAGACTGAACATTTTGATAATGGAATTTAAATATTTGAAAAATTGGTCAAAAATAAAATTCAGAATAATTTTGAAATTTAAAAAATTACAAATTTGATTGACAATAATTTTAATTACCAGCAAAGACAACAAGATTTAGTTTTATATGACTTAATCTTACGTTTTTTGAACTGAAAATAAAAAAAAAGCTCGATTAATTATTTTTGCTTCAAGGTCATTATATTTACCATATCCAATCTGCTTCAGTATTATATCATCCATCACATTACCATACACCACAGGTGACAACCGAACAATATTCATAGGTATGCGGTAACTGATAAAATAAGAGTGAAGTACTGCTTCACAAGCACTAATCGCTGCTCCTTTCAAAGTTCCTGGCTTCGTCGCAGTTGTTTCAGTTCTTGGCTTCTGCTTGCCATAAACCTGAAGCTCATAGCAATCTTCAATAATGTAAGGCAATTTTGATAAACTTTTTATAATTAACACAGTTGGAATTAATGTTGTCAAGTAAATTAGTCAATAGAAAAAATTAAATTTACAATTGATTTAAGTGATATCTGAAAAGGATAACAAACAACACAAATCTTCAAAATGTTTACTTCTTCCGAACTGATAAGGATGAATTTTGATAAACTTTTGTAATGGCGAAGAACTTCGAGAAACTGTGTAAGAGTAGATAATGTTTGTCGAAAACAATCTGGGTGATCTGATCGTTGAGCAGCTAGTTCAGCACTGCTATTCCATGCATTGTATAATACGATACTGATCTGTAGTTATCCAAATATCACTAGTTCAGTAATTATTGAAGATCTAATCAAATGCTCACAAGCTTTTATGATTACTTACATGTATTATCACGAAAATTCGTCAGCCTTTTTTTCTAATTTTTTATTCAATTAAAAACATTTAAACAGAACATTTAATTGAATTCAGTCATTGTATATTAAATATGAAAGATTGAAATTTTAATTTGACGCGAAGCTTAATCAAATTTTCGTTATAAGTAAATTTTGTATTAGCTATTTAAATGACTGATTCAACCCGAATACCTGATGCAAATAAAGGCATAACAGGTTGAGAAATGATTAAATTTTATGATATTATATTCGATTAATAAGTTCTTCAGTTATTTGTAAGACTAGTTAATTTATACTCACTATATATTTAATTTAAAAAAACAGTGAAATATCACAATACAGATCATATAATTTAAATATACGATTAGTCTGAACGAATTACTCCTCACGAAGATTGAAATGATGCAAATTAGGCGACGCATGAAGCCACGTTGATAATGTACAAGCTCTTAGTGATAACGACAGCTTGTATTATATATCTTTACCACTCACTACAATTAATTAAGTTACCTGCTGTTCCGTTAACACTTTTTTAACTAATTCAGCATTCGCGCCACTTCCTCTATACATCGAAAATTTCGGTGGTTTAAATTTCTGTGCAATTTGTGTGACATAAGTATAGTTTTCTTTGTCAATCAAGTCAAGAATTGTTAATTTTATGTTTGAATCTTTTTTCAACAAATAATCCGCCATATTTAAACCTAAATAAGTGAGGCCACCAACGAGCAAATAACTTTTTTCATCAACCATCTGAAAATCTCGACATTCAGCAAATACAATGCTAGAAAGTTTATTTCAATGAATAAAAATGCGGCAATAATCATAGTTGTCTTACAAAATGATTTACCCCATGACTATCTACATCAGAGGAATCACAAATTATACGCCATGATTGTAGTACCTAAAATGACGTGTACGCAACGACTACAAATGTCTGATAAATCTTTCATATGACACAATTTATCTGACTTTATGCCACAATATAATACAAAATAATTACGAATTTCATGCAGCCTTTTAATGAAAATAAAATCTCATAAGATTAACTATGTTGGTAAGCTGTTATTTATTTGATAACTTCTTAGGTTACTTAAAAACGTCAATATATCATAGAGCGAAAAAGGAGGTAAAAGCAGTTTCGAATTCCAAAATATTTAAACTTTCAGCAGTAGTATTATTTACCAGAAAAGTTTGATTTCACGATACCTTCTTAAAGACTTTGATTAATTTTAATCGCACTATGTTTATTGATAACACTTGTTTGAAATATCAAAAGATCCAAAAATGATTTATAAATATATTATTTACAAAAATAGAATATTTATGATCTTCGGAAAAGTTAGTGAAGAAACTAAGAAACTTGTAGAAGACTTACATTGAAAATTAGTGACTAGGAACTGGTAATTAAAAAGATAATTTAGAACTCGAAACTGTCTTTATTTCATCCTTTGCTTTAATTGTGACTGAAACTGTTACAGAGGTTGTTAATTTAAAACTTTATTTCAATGCATTATTGGTTAAATGTTTTAATTTATTTAATAATCTTCACTTAATATTTTATAGTTAATATATATATTAAATGCTCTTCCTGCTTGTAATTAATTAGCTTAAATGTTTTGCCTGTTTATATTATTGATTGATTATCTTATTGATTTCAAATAATGCTTCAAATAATTCTCGATACATTAACTGTTCATTTATCATAAATTTTACATGAGTTTGTAAATGTGCACGAGGGTAATTTTCATAGCTTCGAGTGTATTGTGCAAAAAGGTGGTTTATAGAACAAACTATAGCAATTGTGAAGGACTTAAAATTATATATTATTGCTTAACTCATGCGATGAAACTTACTGCTACTGAAAATTTTCAGAAATGGCAGATTGGATAGATGTAGCAGAACTCCTCGGTGAATTAAGTGATAGTGACGATGAAGAGAAAAAGCAAGACGATAAGAATGGCGATCTTGAAAGACCAAAATCAGCTGATGAGCCAACATCTACATCTCAAATGCTAGAAATAAATTGTGATGTTAGTAGGACTTAATTTCATTTATTTTTTGTTGATATATTATCTTCATGAAACTAATGTATTTCTGTTTCCAACATTTAAATGCAATATTTCTCTTATGTCAAATTAGATATTACGTCTATGTGGTCATTTATTTCAAACGAGTTTTATAAAAAGCTTTATTAGGAATATAAAAGATAGTAATACCTGTACAGGTATGACCATTACCGAAATATAATAATTACTATGATTATTACGAGTTTTTCAAAAATTAATTCATCATAAAAGTATTCAGAAGGTTTTTCCTTTCACTTCAAAGTTACTTTTCCTCAGAGATCAATTTTTCGCACTGTTTAAAAACTTTATAGGAATGTTTATAGAAGCAGTCAGTTTTGAAACGACGAGCTGAGGAAGACATTGCTGTAAGAAATGTACCGGAGAAAAAAAGCCGTACTGAGATAGCATCTGTTCATCCCATTGAATTATTAGACGATCCACTTTTTGGTTTGGTAAGCAGTTTGATGGCCACAGTACTATGAATAAAAGTGCTATTTTATAACATGAGAGATAAAATGAAAATATTTTATATTACTATTTAGTTGGATCCTGCCGACTTCAATGTTGTGGACAGTGCCTCGAAGAAATCTTCTATTATGGGTCCATCAAGTTCAAAGCATGAAATGACTGTTCGCTTTGCAGAAAATGTGAAAGATAACGAAAAGCAAACCAAAAAGGAAGTATTGGTAGCTCTTGTTGAATTTCAAGACATTTTCAGTGTTCTTGTTGATTGAAGAAGTTGCAGTTTACTTCATTTCGCACCAGAATATTCTATATAATAGCCTTTAGTCATATTTTGAAACATTTTTACTCTCTTAAGTAATGTCTTTTTATATAAAGTTTACAGTATTTAACTTAAAGTGCTTTCATATTTGCAGTGTTAATTGTAGGAAACAAAAGTCACTCGGAAGTCAAATTCTGAAGCCGATAGTTCTGATGACGATCATAGTGAAGCTGTTTTGCAGCCTAAAAAATTAAGTGAACAGGACGAAATTTTACGCCAAAAAATGCAGTAATAATTGGTTCTATCAATTTTATTTTGTTAAGGTCTTCATTTTGTTAACTCAAAACCACATAAAATTCGTTGAAAAACTGTTAAATGCATACTAGTTGTCACTTTCTGTTCGTATAAACAGTTAGGATTTATTTTGCATATTTATAGGATATTAGTCGCTAATTTTTCATCAGAACAATTAGCTCGATATGAATGTTTTCGGCGATCATCGTTTCCGAAAAGTATAATTCGAAAAGTATTATTTTTTTCAGCATCGCGTTTGAGATATTTTATTTCTTTTTTCGTATCTATAAATTTCTCTTCATTACTTTTTCTACAAATGCAATGAAATATCAATTATCATAGTCAAAGATTCAAATGAGAGGCTGTAATTTTCATCATTCGCGTCAAAAGTCTGTTTTTATTGCAGTTAATTCATCAAGCGACGGGTATTACACCTGGACATAATGTAATTATAGCTGTTGCTGGGCTTGCAAAAGTATTTGCTGGTGAACTTGTAGAAGAAGGTTAAATTTTTGTGCTGTTTTTGGAGAAATTTTTTGTAATTTAAAACAATGGATGATTTCATTCAAAAAGGTAGTGAAAGATTTGTTTTTAAAGCACTGGATATTCGTGAAAGAATGGGCGAAGAAGGTGAACCATTAAAACCTCATCACATTCAGTTAGCCTATGAGCAATTAGGAGAGAAAGGCAAACTTTTTCCTCCTTATGGATCTCGTCGAAATCCTTTCTTATGACCTCCTTCGTCATCTTAAGTAAAAATGCTCCACTATATTTTGTTCTTACTATTACGGATCGTATTGTTTTTACTACTATTAGAATATTTCTCTTCCTCATATTCTACCTAATTTTTGTACTGTGAATTTGATTTATTTTCTAGTAATGCTAAAGAATTTCCATTTCTGCTTGAAATAGTACATGAAAACTAGAAATGGGATATTTTGTATTCTTTTGCTGAATTCAAATTTTGTTTGAATTCTCAAAATTTAAAGTTTTAATCGGTAAACTATTGATTGATGATGGTGATAAAATGAACGACAGCTTAAAAATCCTTTTCTACGTTATGCAGTATTAGTAAGTGATTTGAGAATTGCGTGTTGTTTAAAGGGCATAAAACACTAGTTTTGATGTTATTTTGATTTAGTAATGGAATTGTTTTGACGTAACAATACATCATTTGAAGAAGAGCAAATTTCTTGCAATGTTTGCTTTTTTTGTATATCAAAAATTGGATGAAATGATAAGTGATGACTTGTAGTAAAGACTTTTTATTGGCACTGTATTTGTGACTTATTTGCGGACAAAATTATAAACAATGCATGTATATATTTTTCACCTGTAAAGTACTGTAGTACTTTGTTGAAGCAAAATACACAATATTGAAAGTTTTTAAGCAATCGTAGTGATGATGGTTGTTAAAAGTAAAATGAGATTGTAGTGGTAAGTTTCTAAAGGATAGAAAATGTAGAAAGCGCAATGAGAGAGTGTTTTGAAGAGTAAGGTGCGTGATAAATCACGGCAAATTTTGAGAATCATACATTTACTTTCCTAGCAAGTTTATCTGTTTGCTTTTCTTCAATTAGTTTCGGTTTGCAATGTGAAACTTTGGAAGTGTTTTTAAATTTTTACTTTTTAGAAAGATATCTTCGAATGTATTGTGAATGGGTTTCTCTTAGTTATCAGAATGAATGTGTATATCAATGAAATATCAATCATCCAGCCTGAGATGTCGATTATTTTGGTAAGTGTTTCCTTCTTAATTATCATGTAATCTTTTATAATTTCACGATATCTTTACTGGTAATTATACTTTTAGCACACTTAGTTCAACTATAAACTGTTTGAAAATAATCTGCTTTATAATCAAGTAATTTATCTTATAGAGAGATTTTGTATATTATTAATTAATGTGGAAGATTGGAATTGACTTCAGTAAACATTAACTTAGCCTTAATTCAAGAAAACGTAATGTACGTAGATATAAATTATTCTTTCTGACTACTGGATAATGCAGCTTTTAACCCATTTATTTAAAAATGAATTAATTTGGACGTATCTGTGAATAAATAATTTTGTAAATGAGACGTTATGCAAACATGTCACTGCTTTGTTCAAATAAATCATTAAGTTTTAAATGAATTTCACAATTTTAGAATTTGCTAGGTTTTTATTAAAAAGTATGGCTTACCACTATTATAATTTAAAACTGATAATTTGTTTGCAATTGAAAACGACAACTATCTGTTTCAAAATGTTTCTTTTTTTAATTTCTATTCTACAGTATTCTTATTTT